TTCTGAGCACTGCTGAGTTTGGCCAAAAAAAAAATAAAGAAAAAAAAGCGGTGCCGTGACCTTTCATGATACTCATAATAAACAATAGAAAATTATCAAGCCTCTGCCCTTGGCAGGCAGGCTTTAATGGTGGTGCTAAAATTCGAAAGAATGGTGGTGCGGAGGTGTAATGGTGGTGAGATTGTTGTTTAAATATTGATTGCAATCAATTAATGTAAATAACCTTATGAAAAAAGTTTAAAGAAATAAAAAATTAGAAAATAATAAAAAATAAAATGATTGAATTGTCAAGATAATACTTGTAAAGAAATTTGCATATTCCTTTCTCTCAGTCCATAGAAACCCCCAGTGTTTGTTGCCCAGGACATCTTATTGTCTGTTTTGACATTAGCGGTGCTTTAGAGGAAAAGGGCAAGCACAGGCCGGATCATTTGAACCATAGGCAAAATTCTGTGGGAGTCAAGTCAGCATGTGCTTGTTCTTTTATTGACATCTGGGGAGATCCAATAACCAATAGTGGCCATCTTATCTCGCAGACTCTCCATTAGGTGAGGTGCATATTTGTGCTCTGGCATTTGGGGAAACTCTCAAACTCAATCCACTCTGGCTGCAGGGCCTTTCCAATTCCATTTGGTCCATGACAATTGATGTTAAGATATTACAACTTCATAAGGTAAGTGCCTGTTGACATTAGTTCCAGTAGAGGCTTTCTGACTCGCCACTAGGATGGGAATACTTGTGTCACAAGAGCTGCTAGAGATTAGAGTCACCATGTGGGGACAGGGCTAGGGTGGAGGTTGATCCAGGTTTGCCTTGAGCCAATCTAAGTTTTCTTCTTCCAAACAAAAAGCTTGAGCGCTGTATCAGACAGCGGACTGGGGATCAGAAAGAGAATTAGGCAAGTAACAGGAACAAAGAGACAAAGATGGATACAAAATTAACAGGTGAAACTCCATGGATACCAGCTTTTTTTTCCAAATGGTTATCAATCTGGCTTCAAATTGGAGTATCTCGTAATGCTCTGAAAAAAACACCAGTGCTTAGGGGACTCTCTCCTAATGGTTCTAGTTAGTTTGTTCTGGGAAGGAGGCTCTGCAGAGAGTCTGTCTGTGTTGACAGTACAGGAAGGGACAGCAATATCTGGCTCCTGTTTTACAGATTCTGTGGTCTGCCTGAGGCATTTGCTCTGGGACCTTCTGGGAGCTGTATCTGACATTGCTGGAACCCAGGATGTGCCTGACACAGTTCAGGCTTATTTTCTGAAAACCTATTTTGAGCCACTGAGCATTGGTAGTCACAAAGGAGCAGAGAAGGCTTCTCCATCTTGGGGTGCTGGTTTGCTTCTTTCTCTCAGTGCAGGAAGTCATCATTAATCTCCATTTTACTGAGAGAGCCTCACACACTCAATTTGTAAAAGGCTCCCAGGCCTGTAATCAACCTGCCTTGATTTCTGGAGTTTTATGGAAGTCAGGTTGCTTATGGCACACAGCGCAGTTCCTCATTTTAGAAAATGCTTCAAGGGCTGAGAGAACTCTAGGGTCAGTAATTGAGGTACACTGGTGGGGTCTGGGTTTGCCCCATGGTACCACGTGATTTTCTTGGATATACAGTTGAGGGTAGCCACAAGTTCTGCCAGCTGTGTCCCCCAAAACAATATAATTAATTAAAAGGGACTTTAAATTCTTGTTATTGCATTTCCATGTAAATATTGGTATCAATTTTTTTCATTTGCATCAGAAGTTTGATTTATGATTAGAATTTCATTGAATCTATAAGTCAATCTAGGGAGAATCAAAATTCTAACAATACAGAGTCTTCTAACTCCTCTTAGGGTCTAAATTTTTATTTTTTTTATTAAAAATTTTTTAATAGTGATACATCATGAGGTGCAGTTGCAGTCTTACACATTTTTGTGCTTGGGTTTCAATTATACAATGATCAAACACCCATCCCTCCACCAGTGCCCATTTCCCACCACCACGGATCCCACTATCCCTCCCACCCTTCCATCCCCCCTATCCCACCCTGTCTCTGTGGCAGGGCATTCCCCTCTGTTCTCTCTCTCCTTCTGAGTGTTGTGGTTTGCAAAAGAAACATTGAGTGGCAATCATGTTTGGTCTATAGTCTACTTTCAGCATGCTTCTCCCATCCTGGGAGGATCCTCCCAACACCTTTATTTGGTGTTCTCCTCTTTATCTGAGCTCCCTTTTCCCCTAGTATGTGTGGTTGGCCACCAAGTCATGAAGTAAAATTCCTGGTACTAATCTTGGCCATTCTTGGGTGTTAGTTTCCTATTTTGTTACTTTATGTTCCCTAGATGAATGCAATCTTCCTATGTCTATCCCTTTCTTTCTGAGTCATTTCGCTTAACATAATACTTTCCATGTAGTACCACTTGTATGTAAATTTCGTGACTTCATCTTTTCTAACAGCTACATCGAACTCCATTGTGTAAATGTACCAACGTTTCTTTAACCAGTCATCTGTTCTGGGGCACTCAGGTTTTTTCCAGATTCTGGCTATTGTAAAGAGTGCTGCAATAAACAGGCAATTGTCACTTCGACTATACTTTTTTGCCTCTCTGGGATATATTCCCAGGAGTGGTATTGTTGGATCAAATGGGAGCTCAATTTCTATAAATTTTTATTTTTTAATGTGTTTGTTTCTGCAATATCTTAGTGAAGTATTTCATGTCATTTATTAAATATATTTTAAGCACATCAAGTTCCTAATTTTAAAAATTCTAAAAATTATAAATAAAAAATGCTTTATAATTTTTCCAATTCCGTTTATTTTTAACTGTCCCTCTGGAACTCATTATACAGAAACTCACACATCGACTCATATAGTACATAGTCCCTGACCATTTTTCTCTAATTTTTTTCAGAATGTTATTGCTTTTAATGATTTCTGAAAGTTTCTCACATGACTTTTAGTCCATTAATTATTTATATAGTCACTCAAAAATCTATTTCATTCTCTTTCAAAATATTTTTATACCCAATATTTTCAGTTGGAAACATTTAGCTTAAACATTTAGCTCTGTTCTAACTTCATCTTCCTCAAAGGCTGTCTCCTTCACTTGTCAACATCTACCCAATGAGGTATGGTGGAAGACAGACCTTAATGTCCCCAGATTATGTGTATCCCCACTCCTTCTCGATTGTGAGCAGAACCTGTAAATTGTTTCTAACCAAAGAAATTAGGCAAAGTGGTACATTAAAACAACTATATGCGATGGTGACTTACAGATGTCATATCTATTTATACATTGTATCTATCTATACTTTTATTTATTGACTTTGAAGAATAAAGGAGCAATTCGATATCCTACAGCTCTTAGCAAATATTCTTCCTACATCACAGGGGAGCCTAAAAGTTGCTGTTTCCTTAGTTGAAGCTCTAATGAGACTCAAATCTGAACACCTTGGCTCTACCTTAATACAGAGGGGTAGGAAAATAAACTCAGTTTACACTGCCCAACTGCTTATGTCATAATCTACTTCATTAATTTAGCCTAGTCTACAGAATTCAATATATAATTAAATTAAAAATACATATATACACACAAACACACACATATATATAAAACATATGTATATGTATATGTATATGGTAGGGGTTGATTCCCTCTCCCCTCCCAAGTGAGAAAGCAAAATACACCCATCATTCTCTCATTCTTAGCATTACATGAGTTGTTCATGTCCTAGTTTCCACTGCACCAATAACTAAAAATTCTGTCATTTTGGTTTAGATTATTGTCCCCCCCACACACAAGTCTTTAATTTGAGTATATTATTTGCCAGTAAAAGTATTATTTGTTCATTTTAGTGCTGGCTGGTGGTCCTGTATCAAATGCTTCCTTCTGCTCCTGTGGCTCATCCAGTTCTCTGAACAGCCCCTGACTGCTTGCTGTTCTATCAGCATAGACTTAAAATCTTCTCTTCTCTGCCACACTGTGTCCTGTGTGGGCTGATGGATTTTCCTAAAGCTTCCCTAGGAAATTTCACAGGAGAGCTAGCTTTTGTGGCCTTCACCCACTACCTATTCCCCAGGTGCCAAGCTGGTATCTAAATATATATAGCTCCCAGAGTGTCATCAGTGTGAGTAATCAATCAGGTGTTATGCTCCATCATGAACCAAGTAGCTTTCAACTTCAGTCCTCACTAGGCATTTTACACAAATCAATGCAATAAACATATCACTGTCCTAAAATTTCTGAAGAGACGGACTGTCATTCCATTTCTAGCCCCATCTGTGGGACCTTGGATAAGTCATTTCAGCTCTGCTAGCCTTTTCCAGTGTCAAGAAAAAAATACAAAGACAACTTCCTTTCTATCTCAGTTGTTCTGAGTCTCAAATTTGAGAGTATCTGGGAACTGAAGGTGAATGTGGAGAATGTACTAGGAGGTTATTTACTATTCCCCATTCCCCAATAGAGTTAGGTGGAGTGACAGCTTATTAAAAAACCTGGGATCTCTGTTTTGAGTCCTTGTCCCCATGTCCAATGCAAATGTGTCCACAATCCTTGTGACTACAGCAGGCTGGGTGTACATGTACATAGCTGGGTGACAGCAAAGAAGGAGCTTTAGTTCAAACCAATGGCCAGTGTCGTCTAGTTTCAGAAGTACAAGCATGAACTGTAGGAATTGACTTGCTGGTGTATTCAGACACTGAGATTTCAGGGCCACGGCAAATATCAGGGTCTAACCTGTAGTTCAGGAAAGGCTTTCCCGAGCTGGGAGGCCTGTCCTTGGAGCAAGTTGAAAAGCAACCTGAAAAGGTTGTGTAGAGGCTGGAGAGCAGCACATGGATTCTCCAGGGTTTGTGCAGTGCCAGGCAGAGCCTTTCACTCAGGGGGCTCTGGGAGGCTGGTGCTTCTGCTCATACAGCAGCCAGGAGCCTTGGGAGTACCTGCTAGCTTCCGGTCTGGGCAGGAGCTGGACTCACTTGCTTGTCAGCTGCCAACAGAGAAACAGCAGCCTCTGCTCCCCTCAGCCATGACAGCCAACCTCACAGAAGATGCCTCCACTTCCAATATAACGTGGGGGACCCCAGACCCCTCCCCAGTCCTCTGCACCCAGACGGAAACCTTTACTGAAGAGACAGAAAGAGCAGAATGGGGCTCCTTCTACTACTCCTTTAAGGTAAGTTTTCTGTGTTCCACTACAAACGCTGATTTTTTCAGTCTTGAGCCAGATAACAAGTCTGTCAGAGATGGTCGATATTATGAAGGACTGTCATTTTTTTAAAATTGAAAATATTTAAAACAAACCTGCAAACCTTTGATGAGCTAAAGCATGGATCTTTGTTGTAGTTTCTCTCCAGTATAGGTTCTCTCTCCTGTTGCTGCTGAAAATATATAAATCATGAAAGGCATTTGAGAGGGGGAATTTTTAAATTTTTATTATTTTTAAATTGCTATTTATTGAAATTCTGTAGTTTGCAATGCAATTAATGATGACTTGTAATACACAGAATTCTAACACCACAGTCATCACCAATGATGTCTCAGAGGCGATTTTTTTTAAATGTTGCTCTCTCCCTTAAGTGAAAGCACTTTTATTTAATCCTATAGTAGTGCTTAAAATGTTTTCTTGTAGAAGGAAGAGTGGTAGCATTTTTTTTTTTTTGCACAAATTTTGGCAGTGTAAGGAGCCCACTTGCTTCAACCAGAGACTGATGAAGGAAACATGTCACGTTGGTTAATGGAGGAAGGTTCCCCTTGTCTGTTCAGCACCATTGTTGCATATCAGAAGTGCTATTTTGACAGCAGCTGGAAGTGCCACAGTTTGCAATAAGTTGCTTCCTGGTGTTCATTTATTAATGGCTGAGTTAGAATCTAATGAGTTTTACCTTCTGAATATCTGAGGGGCACGTTGAGGAAATAATCTTCCTTGAGCTCAGAGCATTTTGCATTGTGCAACAAATGGGGACTGCTTATACCATTCCCCACTGTGCAACAAATATGAACAGAAACCAGGCAGGTATCCCGAAAAGAAGTTTCCTCTCTTTGGCATGGGAATGCTGCAGACCCAGCTTATTTCGCATGATACCTGATGGTACATTCAGTTGTTAAAATACTCCCAAAACAATTCCGGCTTATTTAAAAAAAATTAAAAATTCCTCTAGGAGCTGTTGAAGTGTTTTGGTTTTTCCAAAGTTGAGTCACAGCAATGTAAAACCCTCTTCTCTAATACAGCTTTGCTTTATGGGGTACGTTCAGAATAAAACTTTCAGCAGGGAGGCGTTGCAAGAACTGCCACTAAGCCTCCTCAAGGACTAAAAGACAATGTATAGTGAAGCAGAGTCCAGATATATCACAAAGACCAGAGATATCACAGAGACCAGATATATCACAGAGACCGGTGCCTAAATCATTTCCTAGTGCAGGCACATACACAGCCCCACTGGCTGGCTCCACTACAACAATAACAACATCAAAAGAAGGAAACTTTTATCAGAGTTTGTGGCTGTGTATACTGGCTTAATTACCCCTTCAGTGAAGCCAGTCTCCAGGTTCTGTCTTGGAGAAACAGGTTATGTGGTCCCAGAAAGCACGAAGCTCCTCACACCTGTGCGAGCTCTGCAAATTCTTTGATATTTATACAACATGACAGCTAACAGAATGCAAAGAGACTGGCCATTGCAAAGGGGATAATAGTTCGCAATAAGGCAGTTGTTCTGAAACTGGACAGTAATCGTTCTCAGCTGAAATCTCATTTGCCATTTTTGAATACAAGTCCTGGGGGATGTTTTGAATATTTGAACAAGCAAGTATCTGCTCATTCTCTCCTAGCATTTATAGTCTGTCCTGGCAGGATCATCTTGAGGCATTAAAGAGAATCACTTCAATTTTTAAAATCTCATTCCTGTTTCTATATTTGCATCAAACAACTGGACAAGGAGAGAAGCCATTAGAAATTGTGTTCAGCCAGGAGTTAGGAATGCTACTTTTTTTTTAAAAAAACAATACATTTAGGACTAAAGATGGCTATTTTTAACTATAAGGTAGTCAGAGGTAGATTTGTGGAAAACTAGTTTAAATTTCATAGAGTAGCTTATTCCAAAGTCCCAGTGGAGTATAGGCAGTTTGATACAATGTTGATACAGCAACAGTGTTGATACAAACCCTTGTACATTGGATTCCTTTTTGTACAAATATTCCTCAAGAAAAAAATTAGAAATATGCTCCCTTACTATCTCCCAAACGGATCCTTTTAATTCCATTGCCTTTACCAAGAGCAGTAAAAACAACATAAAAATAAAATTGGTCACAGCAGTGAAAGTAGCAAAACTCACAGCAGCAGCAATATCCATATATCTTATTTGCTGTGGGCTTTCTGGTGCCAGGAATTTTGCTAAATGACCTCTATAAAGTACCTCATTGAGTTCTCACAACCATGGTGTATTATCACTCCATCTGGAAATGCCTTCCACTTTGATTTGTGATCACCTAAATTCTACCCATTCTTTCAGTCTCCTCTGGCATTGCTTCGTCCATGAAACCCTCACCTCAACTCATATCTCCAGGTTACAGTCGTGTTCTGAAGTGTAGCTCTCTCTTTATCACTCAACCCAACTCTTGTTATTAGCTACTATTTAAATATGTGTCAGACAAAGGTGTAGCTTTTTGAGTGAGAGTAAATGAATGTCTTACGTTTGTTTCATGTTGTCTCCCAGATCTAGCCACTTACTGGACAGTCAATAGATGCTGTGTAAATGGAGGGTGATGCTGAGCTTCTGTTATTTGCCTATGTCCTGACAGACTGGGTAATCGAAAGCTTGTTTTTTCAATGCCAGGTGACAGTCTGATCAACCACAGCTCCACAGAGAAGCCCATATTCTATCTAATCCCAGTCAATTTTTGTGCCTGGAGCTCCATCTTAGTAGGCACATTCAGTTCAAACTTAGTCCATTTCTAAGACAAAATGACCAACACATGGTAGAGATTCCAATAAGCAGGGTATGGAATTAAGGTAGTGCAATGGCCTAGTGCCTGGTTTATCCCCTTGGTATCTGAAACCTCAATGTTACAACTCTGCCTCACCACAGCTGTTCTGACCGGCCCATACACAGCCTCCTAACATAGTTTCCTCCCCTGCACTCTAGGTATCCCAGGATTTCCAAAGCAATATTGACAGCAGAAGCAAAGATATCTCAGATTCTACCAACTGGCACTTTCTTTACATTTTCAGCCTTTTCTTGTTTTCCCATCTTTACTCCTTAGTTTTCCTGTCTTTTTCCTATAATTCCACACTTTTCAACAGCTCCTTAGGGATATAAGAAGGGAGGTCAGAAAAGAGATTACCCCCCAACTGGGGGAGATTACCCCCAACTGGAAACCCAAACTCAGGGGTTTCCTGGGACTCACTCCATAGTGTCCTATGCCAACTTTCCTAGTTCAGGTTCTGGTTTTCTATACAATCACCAATTTCTCATACTTTTGAGGGCCCCTCCAGAAGGCACTGAAGAATAATATGAACCTCAAAACTCTGCCAGTTTTTAAAGGAGAAAGTGAACAGGATTTCGAAGTGTTAACCTGTCTAAACTAAAGCCAAAGATGAAGCTGTTCAAATACAAGACTTTAATGTTGCCAGTGAATGAACTATCAACACTCCCTGAATATCTGACTCTTAATGATGAGAAAACTAATTCAAAGTAACCGGGAAAACTGTCTGAATTACTAAATTACCTAAACTATAAAGGAGTAAAAGCACACTCACTTTTATTGTTCCTAGGTAAGGTGAGTAACATTAACCAAGGCTGCTAAATATTACTTAATCATGATTTTTACCTGCTTTTAAGTGGGTGGTTTTAAGTGGTAGCTGATCAGTCTATTATCACTTTTTTCTGTAATTGGTTTCTTGTAAGAACTTGACAGTGATTGGACTGTTTGTGTTTTTCCACACCCTCTGCCTTCTATCATTGATAATTTACTTAACACAAGCTTTATTCATGCAACAAAAGCAATTTCTGTTCAACCTCACGCTAGGCTTTAGCCAAAGCCCAATTTAAGAAGCTAAAATATGCTGTGCTCACTTTTATTATACTTAGATTGACAATTTGCGTCTAAGAACTCTGCTCAGAACTGGCATTTTTCCTCTCAGTGACTTTCACTTCAACCATTTTCTGTCCACTCTCTTATTTCTCTGGGTTTGTCTTCTTGTATATAACACCCCTTTGAATTTTCTTATCTCCCTTTCCTTTTTGAGTCCTAGGATATTGTCACCGATGGTCTTCCTGGAATGCAATATCCCTCGGTCCCTGAATTTTCTGGTGCCTTACAACAAGGGGCCTTGCACTTACATACTTTTTATCCTTTCTAGTTAGTTTCGCTCTGTATATTCAATGAACTCTCCACAAGGAAATTACTCCCAGATGTTCTCAGTTAAATAATCATTAAAGGCCCACAGTTACTGCATATTTCTCCCATACAAATCTAGTGCTTTGATCACTGCTCTGGGTCAGCTTTACTGTCTACTTCACTCCATGCTGTTGAGAATGACACAGACATTACTGTTGGCTGTGCCAGGATGTTATGCCATTCTCAAACTATGTATGTATTCAGGGAGTGACAAAGGGCAAACAAGCTTGAGTAAATTTCTCTTCAAGTAAGTTTCTCTTCCTGTCACTAATACATCTGATGGCAGGAAACTTTATCTTCATTAACCCACACTAAAGTCAGTCATTGCAGTTTTTCAGCTTATGAAGTGTTTTCTCACTTGCTGACTATGGGAAGTTTTTCCGCTAGCTTCACATGAGTGTGAGGAGGAGGAGGTGAGACTCCCAACCAGAATTCAGGAAGCTGGGAAAGTTGTCATCAGCTGAGATTTAGTTGGTGCCGTGACCTGCAGGGTGGGATCGTCCTATTCTGAAGCCATGTGTACATCCCTGGGTGAACCACATCTGGCTCCTCTCTTGGCTGCTGTGACATCCCTTAGTCACACATCCTCTGGACTTTCTCAGACTCATCAGTTCACATCTCCCTCATTCTCCCTCCCACCCATGAATGTTTGTATCCTCACTATAAAATGTAAAGTTTCACTGCTTTCCACTCAATCTTAAGTTACAAAAATGGTCCACGGCCCACGGTTCTCCCGTTGTTCATCGATTTGCTTGAGCGGGCCCAGTAACGTCTCCATCA